AAAGGATTCTATGATTCTATAAATATTTTAGAATTGACTTTTTATTTCAATTTTTTAGGTTCGACATGGTGCAGGTACTGGACTGAGAGAGATACTTAAAGCTCATGGTAAAAGTGGTGGTAAAATGGGAGATAGCTCTTTAGAAGAGGTAAGTTTCCAGTTATGTGGACTTAACATGTGATTTAGATTTTAGAAGACTTCTTAAAATATTTAAGCTTTGCAAGAGGTAGATGATCTGGGTGAAAATAAACCATGAGATTTGGGTGATAAAAATAATTTGGATGAAATCACTGATTAAATGTTTACATCTTTAAAAAGCCTTTGTGAAAACAATACTACTGTGTAAGCAGTCATTAATATATATAGACTGTATGTAAAGTTAGTAAACACTGACTTTCATATTAGAAAATAGTATTTTCAGGTGATGGCAAGGATGTGCTGAAACAAATTGACAAATTGATGATGTAACTAGTGAAGTGTCTCAGACCATGTAATTCTATTTGCTTAAGTAGTAAGGTGATCTTGCTTTGTTATGATGAGAAAAAGTATTTAAGTAATCTATTTCAAAGGAGAGCACTTAAAAAAAAAAAATCATGACAGCAATAGCTTGTTTACTAGTAGTGAATCTCATCCAGATTCATACTGACTTCCCTACTGTAAAAGCAGCTGGGTGAGCTTGTGGTTTACAGTGTTGGAGAATGAAGAGATAAACTTAGCAAATGTAAATCAAGCTATTTCAGCATACTTTGTACAGTGGAAAAGCAAAAGCTGCTGTTTCTACCTAGAGTAGTATTTGGAGATTGCAAAGTAATAGCACATGGTCAAGGTGTTCACTACTTCTCTTTTTGCAGATGATTCAGCAACATCAGGAGTGGCTAGAAGACTTGGTTATTAGACTTCTCTGTGTGTTTGCATTAGACAGATTTGGAGACTTTGTTTCAGATGAAGTAAGTTGTCTCTGAATGAACAGGTATAGATGAGCAGGATTCTGCAGATGTCACAACAATTCACTGTGCTTTGGTACAGTGCTACTGGATGTGCCTCCTATATGGGCTCATGGATGCTTTTTACAAATTATTAGATAAATTTCACCTTGTTTGTGTAGCAGTGTTAGTCATTTGTACTGACATTGATTTAAGTCAAATTTCATACAGAAGTATCTGTTTTATCATTTATTTTATCCTAGGTGGTAGCACCGGTACGTGAGACTTGTGCTCAGACTTTGGGAGTAGTATTGAAACACATGAATGAGTCTGGAGTTCATAAAACTGTAGATGTTCTCCTGAAGCTGCTTACACAGGAACAATGGGAAGTGAGACATGGTGGTCTCCTAGGAATAAAGTACGCGCTGGCAGTACGCCAGGTAATAACCTTCGGGACAAACTGCAGAGAGCTTTCAAACAAAAAGCTGAGCTCAGAGTAGGGGATGTGGCTGAACATGAGATAGGTTAACAAAGTAAGGTTGCTTGTACTGCAGTTTCATGTGGGTTATGTGTTAGTGCATTTTTCAATCCGGGCTGCAGAAAGCTGCAAGTATATAGCAAAGTTGTACTGTGGTCATATAAATAGAGGATATACTTGCTTGGGTTTGATCATAATTTCACATGTGAAGTTAGCAGAACTGAGTGCTACAAGTTTAGTCTATTTGTAGTAGTATTCTGCAAGCACAGAACTTTGTTTACAGCAGAAATGAGCTGAGTTACAAGTTCATTGAAAAGTATAACCTAGGTTTTACTTCCATTAGTGGTAGTTTATAATATTTATATTGTAGACTCAGACCTGTAGCTTCTGTTTTATATAACAGATTTATTCACACACTTAGGAGTACATCTTAGTAGTTTGGGACCTTATGTGCTTTTATAGTTTAAAAAAAGCTTCTGATCTTCTTGACAGGACATGATCAACACTTTATTGCCTAAAGTGTTGCCTGCAATAATTGAAGGTCTCCAGGATCTGGATGATGATGTCCGAGCTGTTGCTGCAGCATCTTTAGTACCAGTAGTGGAAAGCCTGGTCCGACTTCAGTCTCAGAAGGTCATTTAATTGTTTTATGTAATTTCTGATTAAAAAGCTTGTTTTTAGTCTGAGTGAAGAAAATAACACTTAGAGACAGTACTTGGATCTGCTTTGTTTTTTTTTTAGTTTTGTTTGTTTTTACGATACCCTTTTCTGTTTATTTGCGTAGGTGCCTTTTATTCTTAATACCTTGTGGGATGCGCTTCTGGAGTTGGATGACTTGACAGCTTCCACAAACAGTATCATGATCCTTCTTTCTTCCCTTCTGACTTATCCTCAGGTCCGCAAATGCAGGTAACTTTTTAATTAGTATTGCTTCAGTATTGGAGATTAAGTGTCCAGTCGTTTTCAAAGTGGAGTAATCCAAGTTGCTTTCAGACTATGTGCAAGGAGATACTTGATTTAAATCAGTATTTTAATTGTAGTCTTGTTTTTCCTTAAAGTGAAGGTTAAGACAGTGCTTTTATTTTCATTACATTAGTAAAAGACAACAAAATAATCCAAAGGTACTAGACATTGTCTGTGAGCTCCCCCTTGTGCACCATTCGCTGTGGGCATTTTAGTAAAGGATATTGGCTCCACGTGTGGTGGTCTCGCCCACAGACTCCTTGTTTGTGTGCTCCTTGTCGATAAACTCCAAACAAGAGAGTAAACTATGTATATTAAAACGCATGCATGTTCCTTTATCTGCACTTAAGGTAGATGCTTTGCTCATCTTAGTTTTCTCTGAAGCTGTTTTGCCCAAATCCAAACCTAAGAATCGAGTTTTGTCACTAACACCATCTTTAATGCAATGTGTGCTAATTGCATCACTTGATGTGCAAGTTCGTGCACAAAAGATCCACGCTTGGTTTTAATTATTTCTAAACTCATAAATGCCTAATAATAAATCCAAATCAAAATTTAAAAAGCCATTTTTTCTAAAGGGTTGAACAAAACCCAAAGTATAACGTGGGAAACAACAGTAAAAACACATGCTGGAATTGACTAGTTTTTAATACCAGTAAGAAAAAACAGTGTTTTTCTAAAAAAAAAAAAAAGATACTGACTCAACTGTTTTAAAGGTTAAGGCTATAGTAATTTGATCCTTCACTTAAACTCACCAAGCATGCACAATAATACTTTTATCCAAAAGTAAGTGTCTTTTTAAAGAAGAAAACTTTATAACTTGGGAGAAACAAAATTAACTTTGTTTGTGGTTGTTTTTCTTTTCCTTGTGACTGCCTCTTCATCTCCCTTTTATGTACCAGTATTCAGCAGTCACTCACAGTTTTGGTCCCACGTGTGTGGCCGTTCTTGCATCATACTATATCTTCTGTTCGAAAAGCAGCACTGGAAACATTGTTCACACTGCTGTCTACTCAAGACCAGGTAAGAATTACAGTTATTAGTGTTTTATTCTGATGTCACATGATTGAACAGATTCCAATATATATCTTTGTTTCAGAGCTCTTCAACATGGCTGACTCCAATTCTGCAAGACATGTTGAGGCACATATTTCAATTTTGTATCTTAGAAAGCAACCAAGAAATTCTAGATCTTATTCACAAGGTATTTATATGACTTAGGACCTACATATATAGTGTTTGTGTATCCTGCTCTCTCACATCCTCTGCATTGCTGTGTAGATGAATAGTGTGTTCATGTTAATAACTTTGTAGTTAACCTATGTGATGTTTTACTGTGGAGTGAATTAGGATAGGATGGTTCCTACAGTTTATCAGCATGTATATGGTCTTGCGTAGACCAGTTACAAATTTGTCATGATTTCCACTATGTTTCTTTCCAAAGGTATGGCTGGAACTGTTAAACAAGGCATCTGTACAGTATGTGGTTGCAGCTGCTTGTCCATGGATGGGTGCCTGGCTCTGCTTAATGATGCAGCCATCTCATTTGCCCATTGACTTAAACATGCTGCTAGAAGTAAAAACCAAATCAAAAGTAAGTGAAATGTGACCTCCTGAACTGTTCTGGAGAAAGCAGGAAATTGATTAGCTCTACATAAAGACACCTTCTAAAGGTGTTGAAGGGGAGTGGTGATACCTTTCTGCAACTCTAAATGTAACCTATCTTACAAATCTCGTCTCTAGAGCAAAATAGTTCTTGTCAGGTTATTTATGAGAATTCAGAGTACTGTCACATAGCATGCTCCTTGTTATAAAGTCTTTATTTACATGGTTCCATCCTCTTTGTAGGACTGAGTTAAGTCTAAAAGCATTGCATTATTTCCAGAAACATTCTGAAAGAGGTTTACTTTTCCCGCTGTGTGGATTCAGTTTTTCAGCTGTATCTTGAGTATTTGTTTTAATAATGTAGTGAAGGAACCATATCATACATGTCATAGGATTATAGAATACTGTTAGCAGAGAGGTGATTTACAATAATTAACTACTTTAAAAGTCTGCTATCCAAGAAACGTGGCTTAGTTCAGCTTTTACAGGTATGATGGTTATTGGAAACGTTATGGAATACATATTAATCTTTTCTATTACAAACACATTTACTTTCAAACTTCTCCCAACTTCATTCCATAGGAAAAGGCAAGTGCTAAAGTGCGTCAAGGTCAAACCCAGAACAAGGAAGTGATTCAGGAATATATTGCTGGGGCAGACAGCATTGCAGAAGATCCAGCAACCAGGGATTATGTTGTCATGCGAGCTCGGATGATGGCAGCAAAGTCAGTTTACTGGAAATCTGAAAAATATTTAAATGCAATTTGGTTTTTTTTTTGTTCTATAGTATATATTATTATATAGTTCTTTGCCAAAATCTAATTATGTAGACTTTTTTGACATCTTCATTTTGAATCATTAATCGCAGGGTGATTGTAACTCTGAAGTAACTTTTCTTTCTCCTTTTGTCAGGTTGCTGGGAGCACTTTGCTGTTGCATTTGTGACCCAGGTGTAAATACTGTTACTCAAGAAATAAAGCCAGCTGAATCATTAGCTCAACTGCTGCTCTTCCACTTGAATTCTAAATCTGCCTTGCAGAGGATTAGTGTTGCATTAGTAATCTGTGAGTGGGCAGCCTTGCAAAAGGTAGGACGTTTCTGCAGCAAAAATAAATTTTACTCACTATCTTTATCCACAGCTTGTCATCTGCTACTTAGCTTAAAATAAAATTTCAGTCGATAAGCTAGGATGGTATTTGTACATCTAACTGAAGTCTTGATTATTAGACAGTGGAGGATTATGCTACTTGATAGCTAAACATCAGCTGTCAGAACTATGAATCAGTAAATATGTTCACATTTCTTCTACAAGTAAGTCTGTTCTTCAAGATGCATATTGTCTAAGGTCAGTGCTTCCTTTTCATATGATTGTCTTCCATGTATTCACTATCACTTCTGTTCTCGTGGCAGACTGAAGGTTTTTTTCATAATCTGTAATATTCTGGGTTACAAATGTTAATGGTCCCTCTGGAAACTGCATTTTTTTAGCTAGATGGCACTTTTAGCACCCAAAGCTGAACAAAAGAAATTGTGATTACTCAGAAATACAAATAATGTCTTCTCCTGTTACAGGAGTGTAGAACTGTGGCCATTTGTGTGCAGCCTCGTTTACTTGAGGTCCTTTCTGAGCACCTCTATTATGACGAAATTGCTGTTCCTTTTACACGGATGCAGAATGAATGTAAACAGCTCATCTCCTTGTTAGCTGATGCACACATTGACATTGGAAACAGAGTAAACTGCAGTGTATTTACAATAGATCAAGCTAATGAGCTGGTAAGTAGAGGCAAGCTTGGCCTTCCTTCAGATCTGTTCTTGTCTTGAAATACATCTTCAGCATAATTATTCCTGAAAGTTACTGTGTAATCATGTGGTGACTTTGCACATGCTTTGACATGAGATATGTATTAGATACTTCCTACTTCCCCTGTGGGGACTATGCCAAAAATCAAACAGAATGCAAAGTAGATATTCAACACAAGGAAAAATTTACAGTGCTGTGATTCCAGGTGTAGATTCACTATTGAAATCCACACAGAAGAAAACAAAGCATGCTGGAACTCCCTCAAAACCACTGTCAAAAGACTACTAAATGACCTGCAGAAACTCTAGACCTTCTGCACCCCCAAGCATGTGTTTTAAAGCGTTTTTTTCTGTCTTTTCAATCATTCTGTATGTTTTAATCTAAAACCATCAACACTAGATATGCTAATAAAAGGAGGCTTTTGACGTGAAAAACTCAGTAAGCAAAAATAGAGCTGATAACATTGGCACAAAAAATTAAAAGGGCTTTTTTTCCAACCCTAAACTGACCTCTTGAGCAGAAAGATGAGTATAGACAAATGAGGTCAGATATAAAGTAAAAGCTTGTGGATTTGAGTGCCTGTAAAATAAAAGGGAACTGGGATGGGAAGGGTGTGTAGATTCGGGTGGATGAAAGCACACTGGTGTATGTAGTACATCTTGGGGTTAGGGAGGAGAGGGGTAAGGATCCTGGATGTGTTTGTGTATGCAACTGTGGGGTGCTTTTCAACACTTCAACGTTATCTTGAAATACAGGCAGCAAACCTATTTTGCATTTTAGTGTCTTCATCCATTAGGTGGGAAAACTGTGTTCCTCCTTGCTATTCATACTTTTTTGCATCCTTTGGTCATTCCAGTCATCAAGGTCATATGGAGTAGAACTCAAGGTATCTATAGAATGAAGCAGTACCAGGCTGATAGTTGAAAGACTTGACCTGAACATATACAGATAAAAGTCAAAAAAAACCAAACAAAACACCCAAAAAATTCAGATGAACCCTCTCAACAGCTGTCACTTTTCATGTATGTAGGGGCCTAACTATCATCTCAGTAGAGCAAGTTCAGCATTTCCTTCATTCCACCTGCTTTTAATCTCTTTCCTGTGAAAGACTGAAGCAACAGTAGTCAGCCAGTTGTGAGTAGGGAGGATGTGGCATTTTCTACAGCTACTGACTTTTTCCTTAGATTTTTATTCCAGTCTCTTTCCTCAAAAGAAAATCAGCTTAGAAACAACCTCATGCACAGGACCTTGCACATGCTTTCTGGCTTCACGTATTCATAGCATGTTCTTTGCTTATCTGTCATGTGCTTGCATGTTGCCAGAATATGTGGATGTATCTGCCAGATATAGGACAGTCTAAATTTGGAGGAGTACTTCAACTCCTTTTTTAGCTTTGGGAATCTAGACTTGAAATGTTCAATAATATACCTGATTTTCCCCTTGAGCTGCAGTTTACAATTCCAGAAACTATTTTGAAGCATTTCCTGCTATTTGCTGGAAAAAATGGAGATAATATCCAGTGTAGTGACTTGTTCTGCCATGAAACCCAGTTTTCAGAGGATATATCGTTTTACAGTAAATGAAACTGATTTGTAACTCTTTTTTCTGTATTAGGTTACTTCTGTTTTCAGTGAAGTGACATCATCCTTTACATTGAATCCTAAAATTCTTCAACAGTTGGACAGTAAACGACAACAAGTCCAAGTAACTGTTACAGAAACAAATCAAGAATGGCAAGTGTTGCATCTGCGAGTTCATACATTTGCTGCATGTGCAGTTGTGAACTTGCAGCAACTTCCAGAAAAACTAAATCCTGTTATAAAACCTTTAATGGAAGCTATCAAAAAAGAGGAGAATACACTTGTACAAAACTACGTGGCGTCATGTATAGCAAAGTTACTTCAGCAGTGTACAACAAGGTCTCCTTGTCCCAACTCAAAGATTATAAAAAATCTCTGCAACTCCCTCTGTGTGGATCCACATCTTACCCCACTAGCTGCCTGTCCTGCACAGCCTCAGAGCAGCCATGAAAACTCAAAAGGTATGATAGCTAAGACTGCCAGGTCTCTTAAAATGTCTGTGCTTGTCTCTGAACTGTTGAAAGGAATATGAGAGAGTCTTGTTTTCAGTGTTTTTAAAGTGCCAGCAACTGAATCTAGAGTCCTCAGCACAAGAAAGACATGGACCTGTTGGAGCTGGTCCAGAGGAGGGCCACAGAAATGCTTAGAGGAAGGGGAGCACCTCTCCTATGAGGACAGGCTGAGGAGTTGGGGTTGTTGAGCCTGGAGAAGAGGAGGCTCTGGGGACACCTGATTGTGGACTTTCAATACTTAAAGGGGGCCTGTCAGAAAGATAAGGGACAATCTTTTTAGCAGACCCTGTTGTGACAGGACATGGGGTAATGGTTGTAAAGTAAAAGAGGGGGAGATTTAGACTAGATATTAGGAAGAATTTTTTTACAAGTGTGTTGAAACACCGGCACACGTTGCCCAGAGAGGTGTTAGAAGTCCCATACCTGAAAAGATTCAAGGTTAGATTGGATGAAGGTCTGAGCAACCTGCTCTAGTTACTGCAGGGGGGCTGAACTAGATGAATTTTAAATGTCCCTTCCAGCCCAAAACATTAGAAGCATAGAATCGCCATAGTTGTAAAGGACCTCCAGGATCGAGTCAAGCCTTCCTCCCAACATTTCCCTAACCACTAGACCATAGCCTCAAGTGCCACGTCTGCTTGTTTATTGAACACCTTCAGATATGATGACTCCACCACTTCCCTGGGCAGCTCATCCCAGTGCCTAACCACTCTTGTCAGTGAAGAATTTCTTCCTAATATCTAATTGAAATCTTCCCTGGCACAACTTGAGGCCGTTCCCCCTCATCCTATCATCAGTAATATGGGAGAAGAGACAAACCCCAGCCTCACTAGAACCTCCTTTTAGGTAGTTGTAGAGAGCAATAAGGTCTCCTCTCAGTCTTCTCTTCTCCAGACTAAACAAGCCCAGTTCCCTCAGTCGCTCTTCAGAAGCCATGTTCGCCAGACACCTTCCCAGCCTCATTGCCCTTCTCTGGACCTGCTCCAGCACCTCAATGTCCTTCTTATCCTGTGGTGCCCAAAACTGGGCACAGTGCTCAAGGTGTGGTCTCACCAGTGCTGAGTCCAGGGGCATGATCACCTCCCTCCTCCTGCTGTTCACACCATTTTTGATACAGGCCAGGATGCCATCAGCCTTCTTGGCCACCTGGGCACACTGGTGGCCCATGTTCATTCTATGAAAAATGTCTGACTTGTATTACATTCCACAGTCTAATAGTAAGATAACAAAAGATGAGGACAGTGTTCAAAATTAAGAAATACTTGTGTGCTTGCTATGGTCATGGATTTTCTTTAAATGATTGTCCCTTGCTAAAAATGTATGGATTGAATGAGTAACACAAATTAAGACCTTAATGCTCTCAAATATTATAACCTGTTTTAAGGCTTGAGCATTATACACTTTATTTGTTCTTAATTTGTCCTACTTCACTTTAGAGTAGAATAACCTTCATATTTGATTGAAAATTAAGCTGATTAGCATAAACAAAACTATAAAAAAAATCCAAAGATACTGGTGGTATCTGCTATTGCATCAAGATAAGTGTTGAACTGTTTGTAAAGGATGCAGAATGTGCGTGTTTAAACTTTAGAACATAATGTATTGGTTTATATAAAAAAGCTTGTGCAAACTTTTAATATTTGGTTGAAGTTTTGTTTGCAATGTTTTTTGCTGAGTAAGAATTTATGTAGCAGTTTGCACACATAGATTGTCATGCCAAATCTGTAATGTGCTATTAACAGAGTAACTCCTCTGTACTTAAGTGTCATCTCCCTCAAGGATGGGACAAATTTGTTTTTTTGAAGTATGTTGAGAACTGCAGATAACTTGTAGGTAGTTCTCACTTCCACCTGTGTTTCAAACTACAGCTTAAGTTGTTGTCAGCTATTCTCCCTTTTCCTTTAGGGTCCAACTCTGATAAAGATGGGATGCACCATACAGTTACTAAGCATAGGGGAATAATTACATTGTACAGACATCAGAAAGCAGCTTTTGCCATCACAAGTCGGCGAGGCCCTACTCCAAAAGCCCCAAAAGCCCCAATTGCAGATCTCCCCACTGGCAGTAGTGGAAGCATTCCTACAGAACTTGATGAGGTAAACTGTTCCCCATGTTAGTTTTTATCTTGGTGCATAATGGATGCTCTTAAAATGTTAAAAACAGTATTTGAAATATGACTGGCTTTAGGATGTGCATGTGCCTTCCACAGCTGATATGCTAATTTTGTTGGTTACTGTTTTATTCATGGTAGAACTTCAATGTGTTTTAATTAAGTCTTAGGACTGTGATTCCTAAACATTATTGTGGATTTTGTTCTTAATTGTTAAAATTATATTTAGCAATTCCACTTTCTGAAGAGGGTGGGAGCAAGGGAAAGGGTTTAATAACAAATCAAATGTTGTTTCTGGGAAGTCTTGCTGTTCTTGATGTCCTTCTGTTGGCAATGTCTGAGGTTCTGGAACTGGAACCAGTTGGAAAAGGTCTTGCTGAAATGGGCCAGTGTCAGCAAAAGCTGAATTCACAAATTAATAGGATTTAATTAATATTATAAAACATTCTCATTGTTTTCCCTGTATAAGGAATAAAGTAACCTACAGAGAACAAAATGGACCAGCAAATGTATTGTAGGTAGCTATAAACACAATCAGAATTGAATGTCTATGTAACAATGGGAGTGTCCTTGGACAAGTGTTATTCTTAAACATATCTGTCCTCACTCCTTTGTTAAATTGTTTGATTCTAGGCTCAGAAACCTTATGTTGTACAGAGAAGAGGAGCTGAATTTGCCTTATCTACTATAGCTAAACACTTTGGTGCTGAAATGGCAACGGGATTGCCACATCTCTGGGATGCTATGGTTGGTTCGTTGAGGAACAACATTCACATAAATAATTTTGGTAACTACACTTCTGAATTAAGATCGGGAGGCTGGTAAGCTGGGGCAGTATGTCAGTCTTAAACTGAAATTTTTTGTTTTTAACAGATCGGAAGTCCTTACTGGAAAAAGGAGATGCTCCTGCCCAGGAGCTAGTAAATTCTTTGCAGGTTTTTGAAACAACAGCAGCATCAATGGATACTCAGCTACATTCTCTGGTAATCATTTTCCAAACCAGCTTTTGTGTGAAGCAATTCAGTCTGTTCTTTGCCACTGTTTTAAATCTTTGTTTTTTAAGGCTTCTTTTTGTATGTTTTTCTAATTTTGCTCAAGTGGTGCTTTTATCCACTTGCGAGCTTGACCATTCTCTAAGTCATGTCTCCTTGTCTTGATAAAATGAAGACACAGCCTTCTGTCTTCACCAGTTAAGCTGTTATATTTTAAAGCTGTTTTTTTTAACTGTGTCCTGTCAGATGTTAAGTTCTGTATTTGTTTATGCAGGTTATAGAATAAATCTCAAGAACAAACACCTGCCTACAGTCTAACTTTGGCCAACCCTTTTCTGGATGAGATGCCTAAACAAGATTGTGTCCAAAGTCTGAGTTACTATAGTATTTATGCTGTTGTGTTGCACTGAAATTGGCGTCTCAGTTCTGCTTTATTCTAATTCCAGATTTTCTAAACCTGGAGAACACACTAGTAATATGATACCTTCTCTCTGTTATTGAATTACAGACAAAAACCATTGTTATGCTGCATTATGTGGCTCACTCAAATGGGCTGACCTCTAATAGAGTGACAGGTCGTTTGTGTGGCCAGAGCAGGGGGAAAGCAATAGTAATACAGACTGCAGAGTTTACTGCCTGACTACTGTGTAGCAGGTTGGGGGTTGTCATGAAAGGCTCCCTGTACAGGGAATGCAAAAAATTACAGAGACTTCAGTTTTACCCCCAAGTAGACTGGATTTGACTAATTCTTTAATATTACTTTTTACTCCTCACTCAGTGTAAAAGACAACATCTTACATGCAGTAGTAGACTCTGAGTTATTTCTACTCAGGAGAGAGTCCCTGGAGTTACAGTAGTTCTGTGAAAGTACCAGCTGAGTGTAAAATACTGTTTAAAAAAAAGTTAAGAAAGAAACAAAGCAAGTCATCACTACGCTTGCATCTGAACACAATTTTCAGTACTAGCTTATCTGCAGTACTACATTTAAGAATAAATATAGTAGCACTGCTAGAGGCATTGAGAAGGGCAAGAGGATGATAAAAATGTAGAAAAAGGTTAGGAAGAAATAAGTAGGCCAGAACTGCAAGGAATAAGTAGGCCAGAACTGCCTGGAAAGGATCTGATGGGAAAGAATGGATATATAAGAAATGGCTGTAGAATTCTGAGTATACAGAGGAGATTCATATGGAATGTAGGGAATTGTTATTTACCTATTTGAATAAAATATTGAAGTGATTTTGAGTAAATTTAGCATATGATGTGGAAAGGCTTTCTCATATATATGCATTTTTTATGTAGATTGGTTATAGGGGTGATAATACTGTATGCAGATTTAAGGAAAAAAATGTAGGAAGTTAAAGAAGGTGGAATTAGTTCATCAAAGCTTTTAGGTATTTCCAAGCTAGGAAAAACCTGACTACCCATTTAAGGTATGTGGCATAAAAACATATTTGTGCTGATGAAAAAAGACATGCATGTACCCATGTATCCCCTTGTGAAGGTGTGAATTTCCTTCTGCATGTCTGTCTTGTCACAGAGTTAGATTCCCAGCAGGGATAATTTATCTGCCTAAACATAAATGTGATGAGTCTAGGACAAATTTACTAGCTGGAAGGAATTATTTATCTGCCTTTAAGTAATAATTCTTTTTTAATAAAGAGTTTTTAGTACCTAGTATTGTATTTTTCCAGTGTGAAGCACCTCCTTAATTATCAAGGGCTTCTAAGGGCTGCTTTAATTTTTGACTAAAACCCTAAATATTTTGCTACTCTGAATTTTAACTGCAACATGAGGAGTAATACTTGTTCAAAGTTGTGTTTTTCTTTTGAAACAGCTTTTTAGTTTTAAACAGTTGGCTCTTGTGACAGAGCTGGTTCAAGCATTCTTTGGGAGAGAGCAGTGACTTAGACTGTTTACTTGAAAATAATTTGGTAATTTGTTTATAATTAATATTAAGCTTTCCCTCCCTGCCTTCTTCTATTCAGTTAATACAGCACTTGCCTCATCTTTATATGTGCCTTCAACATCCAAGCACTGCAGTGAGACACATGGCTGCTCGCTGTGTAGGCGTTATGAGCAAAATAGCTACCATGGAAACAATGAATATCTTTCTAGAGAAAGTTCTACCCTGGTTGGGAGCAATAGATGACAACACGAAACAAGAAGGTGCAATTGAAGCACTTGCATGTATCCTTGCTTGAGTATTCAAAAATGTAGAAACTTGTTTGGAGTTGCATAAGTTAGGGGAACAAACTGTTGCCTGAAAAAAATGGGAGGAGGAATGAAGCTGTTTTCTTGCTGTAGACAAGAAATAGACACTGTAATTTCCATTGCCTTTCTCTATCAAATGAAGACTTGGCAGAGGTAATACAGTTTCTCAAACCATGGTATTCACAGGGGTAAATGTAACTGGGTAGATCAGACCTCCTTCTGCACCCCTGCCCAGTGCTTCGTTAGAAGAACTGTTGTTCATCTGGATATAATGTATTAACAACACTTACCTACAGAGCATGAAATCTGCCAGGTACATCCTGATATCAGACAGTCTGAACTGGTGAAAACTATTTCCTTAATAACTGATGCAGGTGTGATGGAGCAGCTGGATGTTGGTATTGTTCCATACATTGTTCTTCTAGTGGTTCCAGTTCTGGGTAGAATGAGTGATCAGACAAACAGTGTACGTTTTATGGCTACTCAGTGCTTTGCAACACTAATTAGACTAATGCCTCTTGAGGTAAGCTCGAGTTCTAAGTATACTGTGTGAACTGTCCTGTATCTGTCTTTTCACCATCTGTGAAGTCCAAGCTTCTGGCTTATTAAATGCTGAATAAGTAACTGGTTTTATATATGTTAAGTCTGTATCAGATAACTGAAGATGTGTTGTTAATAATGTAAAATGAGTAAAATTTGATCCTCTCTTAGTGATTTTGTAAATTAATGTTAGAAGTTAAATTTCTCTTTACAAGAAATTTTAATTGTGTACATTAAGTTAAAGTATATATTTAGTTTTGTGTGTAATGCTGCTTTTGCTAGGTTTGACTCAAAACTCTTAGGAGTTATACGTGCACTCTCCCTAGGTATGTGTTGTTCTGTATGTGGCTAAGAGAAATGGATAAAAAAGCAATACTGATTTAAAAAAAAAAACTGCACTAATAGAAATAGTACAGCTACAGTTACTCCTAGTTCTTAAAATCAAATAGCCCCACCCTACAGCGTTGGGCAAAATATAACATGCAACATGATCCAGTAGTGATTAAACAGTACAAATTTGCTTCAGTTTTTCACTCCTACTACAACTTTCATACCTCAGATGCTTGCCAATATTGCACTTCAAAGACTACAAGGCTTCCAAGTAACTTATTTTCACCACCAGATGGTAATAGAAGATAGTTTGGAATTCAGAATTTAAATTGATAGCTACAGAGGGGTTAGAGACATCTCAGTGGAAAGCATAGGGGGTAGATTGATAGAGACTAGGGAAATAGATGTTTTATGGGTACATAATTTGTTAAGGAAAGAATAATTTTTTGAGATCAAAGTAACTTTATTATCAAGTTTTCAGAGACAAAGTTTCACAAGTGCTTTGTGTGGAAAAAAACTTACGGAGTGGTATATTTTGAATACAGTTTTACATCTCTAAATGGGAAGACTTTTTAGGGTAGTCTTGCAGATATTTCTTAAGACAAACTCTTACAGTTTTCAGAAGTTATAGTGGTGGTATTGAAACAAATAAAAAACCTCTTTCCGTTCCTTCAGTTTAATGTCTGTGAAGCATGACTTAGTTCTGTAACAAAACAGTCTATCTAGTCTTTTGTGTTTATTGCTGGTATTTTATATACTGCCTAGAATGCAAGACCTAAATTCAGCTGCTGGATAAGTACAAAAGTGGTAGAGGTCTGAGTAAGTTTGGAGTTGCTAATGTGTATTTTTATGTTGGTTTCTAATTGTGAGGAACTGGAAACAACAGCAATAAATGAAGTGGGTGAACTTAGGTATGCTGACTTTTCTGTAGCTTTATTCTCAATTTCGTTATTCATTCAACTATAAAAATATGACTGAGATTGTAAAATAAATTGTTCAACTAAATCTGTCCTGATTTTATTGGTCAGCAGTCATGCTGCAAGTTGATAGTGTACCTGAACCAAATTAACTGGCATGATATTCACACTTCAGACATATTCTTTTAAAAGGCAGGGTAGGAAGAACAGTTGAAGAAGTAGGCTGCTACGTACATACCTAAATACCTTATGGGAGCACTTCTAACATTTGAAATCTGTATTAGTAACCACATACACAGTGGAATTAGTCGATATTAGGAGCCCTCCCTAACTGTGACTTAGAATTTGAAGTAAAGCTAACTGAAGATGGAGGTGGCCCAGAAAACTGGGATGACAGATGTGACGATGGAAAATATCAGTGCCTTTTTTTTGCTACTGTACATTATTAGCAAGCAAGGATGTCTGAGCATATTTGTCCGCCAGGTACCTTCTTTGGGCTTCTGGCCTAGCATGGCCAGTACCTAGGAAGTTAAGGTCTGCTGCTACGAACCTGGAAGGGGTTTAGGTTTTTCTTTTTTGCAAGTTTCCAACTGCTGGAATTCATCCTATGGATTTCATAAGGGAAATCAATCTATCTTTGGATGGTAGATAGTGGCAAACAACAAATGGGTGTCAAAGGATTCTCTAGCCAGCCAGCTAAACTCTCTGATGAGAAGTAAAATAGCTCAGTCTTTGTAAAATCTTACAAGAGTGACCAGGACTTTCCCTCTTCCGTGTGATTGTATCAAATTTTTCAGCATGTTTTTTGGGGTAGAATTTGTCTTTTGCACCCTACAACTTTAGGTGACTTGATCTGCAAGGTATCAGATGAAGTACAGCACTGAGTTTAGATTTGTACACTTCAGAAGTCTGCATATCTTTGCTATCTGTTTGTTATTAGTGTGAAGTTTACTTCTGTGTGAAAAGTATGTACTGTAGCCTTTACATTACTGCTTTAAAAATACTATCCTAGGCTGGTATACCAGATCCACCAAACATGTCTGAAGAATTAATCCAAATGAAAGCTAAAGAGCGTCACTTCCTGGAACAATTATTGGATGGTAAAAAGCTGGAAAACTATAAAATTCCAGTACCAATCAAAGCAGAGCTCAGAAAATATCAGCAGGTAACAGCTTACACTTTTATTTTAAGAGCAGTAAGTTCCAGTCTGATATGATTTTATAGGTAGGAGTTGTTCAGGTGCTGGGTGTATTTTTTGCTGGTATTTGGTAGTTTGTTGTTTTGTGCTGTGCAGTGCACATCTTGAACTCTTGGGTAAGGAAGAACAAATTTAGTGCTGCATGCCATTTCTACTGGATTTCTGTTAATGTTTTTGTTGTTGCTGTCATTGTTGTTTCCCCCTCTGTGGGTTCTGCTGCTGTGCTGAGGGAACGGCCGATGGCTGTGCCTGGCGTAGGCCGCCTGGCGGCTCGTCGTTGCAGAACCCCTCTTGCTGGAGGGTTTGGCTGCGTACATCTGCTGCCCTCGCTCCCCTCTGCTTTGAGCCAATGGGCTGTAGCAGAGGCCTTCAGGGTGCGCAACAAGCTCGTAGTTCGGTAGTGAGGGGTGATAGAACATACAGATCTCTGAACTGAGGCTTAACCAGCCAAAAGCCAGTTTCTACCTCTGAGACACCCTTTATTTTCTAATTTCAGGATGGAGTGAATTGGCTGGCATTTCTCAATAAATACAAACTTCATGGAATTCTTTGTGATGACATGGGCTTAGGAAAAACTTTGCAATCCATTTGCATTCTTGCAGGTGATCATTGCCTCAGGTAAGCTTAAGTAAAATTCTACCTTGAGACATTAATGATAGATTTTATCTATGGTAATGACTCTAGGCTTAGTCCTGGGCAGCTGGCTGTAGGTGGCTCTCCAGAGGTCCCTTCTAACCTCAACTATTCTGTGAAAACAAATTTTTTCAGACTTGTTTTTATATTTTTTAAAGGGCTCAGGAATATGCAAGAACAAAACTGGTGGACAGTGTTCCTCTTCCGTCCTTGGTGGTGTGCCCTCCTACACTCACAGGACACTGGGTGGATGAAGTCGGCAAGTTTTGCTCAAAAGAATATCTTAATCCTTTGCACTATACAGGACCTCCTACTGAGAGAGCAAGGTAATATATTTTGTGTTTATGACTTGGGTAGAATAAAAAAGCACACAATCTTAAAATTCGCTTTATTGCTGCTAGTGCAAAGCAGAGTTTGTGGGCATGTGGATCTGTAAGGGTACCTTTTAAAGGCTAAAATAACACATATGTAAGGAGCACTTCAGTTATCACCTCCTTTTTCTGAAGGTTACAGCACCAGGTGAAAAGACACAATCTCATAGTGGCTTCATATGATGTTGTAAGAAACGACATTGACTTCTTCAGGTAAGAATTTGTTTTTTGAGACTTTTAATAGATTAGAATTTTAAATGCTACTTAAGTCCATATTCTTCTTTTCTAGAAATATTAAGTTTAATTACTGCATTCTTGATGAAGGCCATGTAATAAAAAATGGGAAAACAAAGCTGTCAAAAGCAGTAAAACAGCTAACTGCCAATTACAGGATAATTCTTTCTGGGACACCAATCCAGGTAACTGCTTTTCTGTTTTTTTCCTAAGGAGTTGGTTGAGTAGTAGAAAATGTGAAAAAGAGATCTATTTCGCAGTCTGGTTTATTGTGCTTTTTATCAGTGGTCTTGTTCAAGGTACACACTTTTAAAAGGCTTTTCACTGATAAACGCTTGAAATGACATCTTTTCCTTTCTTAGTACACCTGCGTTTAGGGGATTAGGTGTAGTAATGGAGTTCAAAACTTGCCAACAAGACTTTCTCTAAAACTTGTTCTTTAAGTAGCAGGAGGGGTTGGGGAGAGAGCATTTCCTTGTGCCTCTAGTGAAATTAGCAAGAAACTCAACTTTGCGAACTCCAGATTTTAGGCTTTGTCCTAATGACTTTTCTGTGGAGAACTTGGTGTGGTTTAAGGCATCAGACACAGTAGAAAGTCCATTTATATCTTAAAGTGCATGTACAGGTCTTCCTGTAACTTAGGTTGATGAAAGAGTCACCAAGTTCCAGTAGCTTGAAAGTATATTGAAGTGTTATGTTTGTAGTGATAATTTTAGAGGCAGTGTTAAGTGTATCTAGGGAAATGTTTCACATAACCTTTAACAATTCATTACTTTTGATAATTTTTTTTAATGTTCAGAACAATGTCTTGGAGTTGTGGTCGTTGTTTGACTTCCTTATGCCAGGATTTTTGGGTACTGAACGCCAGTTTGCAGCTCGTTATGGCAAACCAATACTGGCAAGTAGAGATGCTCGAAGCTCCAGTCGAGAACAAGAGGCTGGTAAGGATCAAACATTAAATCTTGGTTTTCTTTTTTTCTTCCTTTGAATGAAAACTGCTAATGAAAAAAGAAGGTGCAGTCTCTTTGACCATAAGAGATTTGGGGAGAGCTGAATGTTTTGAACTTTTTTCCTTTTCCCTAC